TTGGAAAGAAGAAACGCATTCAGCAGAGCAAAAATGTTAAAAAGGTACGGACGGCTTGATATATTTTCTTTTCCAAAGAAAAAGTCTAAAATCATTCCTAACAAATTTCTGATAAGGAAATCTTAATATTTGAACCCGTCAACATTTACAAAACGAAAATTGATTGCGACTAGCTTACACCCAGATGAGATGAGCCTGTGTTTATTCAATATGGTCGCTCATTGAAAGAAAAATACATAACAGAGAAAAATGAATGAATGTAGGTTCTATAATGAGTTTATTGAATGAGTTAGAAAATAATGTTATGCGAAAAACTTAATTGAATTTAGTAAATAAAAAAAATTCTGTTTATTAGACGGGCGGTTAATATTGAAACGCTACCATTTAGCGTGACGTTGTGCCACTATGGCGTCAGATATAATTACGCGACATAGCCTCACAGTTTTTTTTATTATAGTAGACAGTAGACATTTTATTTTATTCCATTTGGCTTTAAAGCCGATGAGGACATAAAACATGCATAATAACGAACAGTTCATATAAACATGTAACCCTTTCCCTCATGAGCATATTGTGAAAAATGGCCGTTTTCATTGAAAAGCCTCCTGTTACAAGTTCAAACTGCTATGAAACTTTGAAAAATGTTTCAATACTAATCAAACTTGGCACAAATGTTGACTGGACCATTGCCTTTGTAACGACATGCTCAGTCTAAAATTTCCTGTTACCATGGCAACATGGGGACATCTCAAAATTGCCATAAATCACTATTTTGCCTTGAGTTTTTTCATCAAAATTTATTTCAAAGTGCTGCAACTTCTCAAGGGATTGAGATAGAGTCAAAGGCTTTTCAGCGTTGGTTACACGTTACCTTATGATCGACCTGGGGTCATTTTTAGCCTCTCGCAAGTCCACAATTTTCTTGGCGATGAGGGGGACTACCGCCCCTCTTCAAACCCCCCAAACAGAAGGGGGCACATCCCCCTTCTGGCAACCCCTGATGTATCTTTTGGATGGGGGCGGCGCCGAAAAAGTGCTCACTTTTTTTAGCAACGTTTCTCAAACGAAAACATGTGTTTGGGGTCCAAGAAAGGACATTTTTTCACTGAGGCCTAAAAGGGGGGTCGAGTTACATAATGAACATTTTCAAAATTGATCTTTAAACCAGTAACTTATAGGTCTCTTGTATTCACATATACATACACACGTATACATGTACATACATACAAAAAGCATACATTACATGAACTATTAATGCAAAATTGTTGTATATAAATCGATTTTTAACACAGAAACGCAATTACCGTTGTTTATACATATATCCTAAAAAAATGAACGTCCCTTCGCATCAATTGCGGATTTCATAAAAGGAACATCATAAGTTGATCAAAACAATTACATGCAAGAATTTGCCTATCATATTCTGGCGTTTTTTTCAACAAACGCCCCAACAAAAACAATAATTTCTTTAAAAAAAAAGTATTGCAGGTATCAGCAATAAAAGAGTGACATTGGAATTTGCTTATTAATTTCTAGTGTTAATTATGAAGTTTCAAATCGTATTTGGATTTCGATGTTTTTATCCATGCCGGAAACCCGTCTGAAACCTTTAATGCCAGACCGCTCATGTGCTTAAATGACGTCATTATCTTTATGAAAGAACGATTTTAAAAATTATTACGCTACTCTTAAACTATTGTTTACGAAGTATATGTAAGTGTTCATCCGTGTTGTTCTATTTCGACGGGGGCGATAGCGACCGGAGAATATTTCTTATTTCTGTAGAACAGCTACGGATGAATACAAACATACTTAGTGTCAAGCTTTATTTGGCTTCATTAGTATTAACTTTATTTCATCACTATACCTGTCCATTTGCACAAACGCGGTTCTATGAAGTACTATGAAAAATAAAAGGCTGCTATGAACGGACTTTGATATATCATCGACTTTTGTTCTTCTATTCTATGAAAATTTACACACAAAAATTTTAAGAAATACAACGCTTTCGTTGGATGACAAATAAAGCTGGACACTATTATTATTTATTTCAGTTTCTTAATTTGGTTCTACACATCCACTTATGTCTTGTAAACATAACTTTTCTATTATAAAGAAAATCAATTAATCAGAAAAAAATGCGCCGTACGTTATCATTGATATTTTGTGCGCCATACGTTATCATTTCCGGAAAATGCCCCGATATTAATATTTACAGCAGTAAATCTAGCCAGAATTGGCATGATTGCTTACTTGACAACATATTACAACTTTTTTAAGTCAGTGGTTTCAGTTAATATACATATATGTAAAAGAAACAGTGAATTTGAGAGAAAAAGCCGTACGTTACCACGATCAAACCGGTGGAAAATTCTCTCGCTTCGAATCTGGTGACGCGCATTTCAGATAAAGTACGGGACGAAACATCATGAAATAACATCCTGTGTGCAAGGAAAATTGTGTAGAAGGTTGTTATATGTACTTTAACATCAGAACATCACGAATTTCAGAGAAAAAAGGGAAAAACCTACTTTTTGACTGCATCCGCCATCTTGTTTGTTTGGGTAACGAACGGCGTGATTCTCCCCCGTGAGGCTATTAGTGTTAAAATGACCAATGAAAATTCTGCCTATTTTCATTTCTTTACTGTTAATTTTAGCGGAAGTCAAGGTGAAATCAGACGGCCTTCGGCTGAAAAAAAGTGCAATAGATATAAAATTGTCTGGAAAGAAATTTTTTAAACGTCATTTCATGTTCTAATTAAAACGGTTGGGACGGAGTACGGTGGGATTTTTTCCTGGTCGATGAAGAAAACATCAGATACTGGGACGGTTTATTGTGTTATTGATATTTTAGTAAATCTATATTTTACTAGAAATGTGTCCATAGGACACGGGTGCCCCCACACGCCACTGTTCTGTCAATCTTATGACTCTAGGTCAAATAATTTTTGGACTACATGTGCCACAAGTTGAAAACAAAAAATCTTTTACTAAGTAAGGGGCAAGAACTTTACAAATACTGAATAAATCCACAAGCAAACCCCAAGGTGCATAAGTACACATGCTGACCAACATTCTTGAAATCTTTCAGGCCTACAAGTCAAATACTTTTTGAATGTTGCATGAACAAGTTGAAAATTGCAAATTTATACTACTGTAAGTCAAGGGCAATAACTCTAACAAAACTGAAAATCCACATGCAAAGTCCCAGGTGCATAGCTTCACAGTGATGTTGATCATAATTCCTGTACTTTAGTGATTTTGATCATTATTCCTGTAAAGTTGGTTGATTGTAACTCAAGCACTCAAGGAACAAATAACACAACATAATGAAACAGTTTTTACTAAGTCAAGGGAAATAACTCTACAAATACTGGATAAATCCTCAAGCGAAACCCCAGGTGCACAACTACATATGCTGAGCAACCTTCCCGTAAGGTTTAATGAAATCCTTTTTGAGTTACATGCGACACAAGTTGAAAATTGCAAAAAATTTCTAAGTCAAGGGCAATAACTCTAAAAATACTAAATAAATCCAGACGAAAATACCCAAGTGCACAACTACACATGCTGATCATCATTCCTGTAAAGTATTATGACTCTAGGTCAAATTCTTTTTGAGTTACATGCGACACAAGTTGAAAATTGCAAATTTTTACTAAGTCAAGGGCAATAGCTCTAAAAACACTATATAAATCCAGACAAAAATAACCAGGTGCACAACTTCACATGCTGATCAACATTCCTGTAAAGTTTTATGACTCTAGGTCAAATACTTTTTTAGTTACGTGCGACACAAAAGAGAACGGACGGAAGGACGATGGAATATCTTCATGTGCTATACCTTCTTTCAATAAAGATATAATAATAATTATTTTTATTATAGTTCGGCGCCACAGTGCTTTAAATTGCTTCCCTTTGGTATTATTTTAAGCTTATCAATGGCAATTTAGATTTTCTGAGCTCGCATTTGTCACTTAATTTGCTTCCGTTACATGTATGACATTTGAAATTCCTATTATGATGTAGTCGTTGCCAACGTATAACCACAATACCCATTTCAGCTCGTGCGATTTTGTATTAAGACTTAACTCAATGACCGAAAAGTTAACATTTTTTTTGCTTCACTGACTGACTAAATGAAAAAAAAACCTTCAAGGAAATTTGATTACTGATAAAATAAGGAGTGAGGGCATATGTATAAAATACCAACACAGGTTATTGTATATTTTTGGCCGGTTTGCACTGGTGCAAACTCGGGTTATAGTATGGTGAATGTCGGGCGGCGGGCGGACGACGGTGGGAGGGCGTGGAAAAACTTTTCATAACAGTTTTCTCAGCAACTACTTATCACAGCCTCTTGATATTTGGCATTCAGCATTGACACGTGGTTCCATACTGTGGGATTCGATTTCAGGTCTATAGCTCATTCACTTCCTGTTTATCGACTAAGTTAAATTTTCGACATTAATGGTCAACGCAGTTTTCTCAGCAACTACTTATCACAGCCTCTTGATATTTGGCATACAGCATTGACACATGGTCCTATATCGTGGGATTCGATTTCAGGTCTGTCGCTTATCCACTTCCTGTTTATCGATTTAGTTAAATTTTCGACATTAATGGGCAATGGTAGAACATTTTCGTAACAGTTTTCTCAGCAACTACATTGTACTTATCACAGCCTCTTTATATTTGGCATACAGCATTGACACATGGTCCCATATTGTAGATTCGGTTTCAGGTCTGTCACTCATTCACTTCCTGTTTATCGACTTAGTATAGAAATCTACGAGTTTGTTAATTTGTGCACAAACATGTTTCCATCCCAGTTAAATCCTAACATACATTACAAAGAAGCCCCAATCAAGTGATTTGTTTGTTATAAGTTATAAAATTGTACTGAAAAAAAAAATCTGTATAAAATGTATTACAAATTTACTGAAAAATTGTTTCTGTTTAAAATTTATTACATCTCTAGTTTATATATTGATGAAACGTTTTATATTGAATAAGCATTTTATATATAACCTGTACATGTATATAAAATAACCCCTAGGAAACATTTGTGAAAAAATACTAAGATTTTTTACGGAAAGAATTAATCCAAAAATGACAAATGTATACATGTATACGGATAAAAAAACACGAAAAATAAAAAAAAAAAACACGAAAAAAAAATAACAATAAGGAGGGTTGTAGAGAACAAAATGGTCAGATGATGGAGTAAACTATTGTTTAATTCACATGTGAAAGAAATGAAGTTATCTTTTTACCCCACAGAGTTATGGTGCTGAGTTGATGTCATTTATTCATGATTTTCTTCATGTAAATTGTTATGATATACTCAAAGAAGCTAATAAGTTGATTAATTCGCTCCAAAACAAGGGTATTTCAAAGCAAAAGTTTGTTTGAATTTAGTCAGCCAGCTTTGTAAACTTGCCGTCTAATATCTACGTCCATAATATTTGGACTATGGTCGGATACCAGCTTATGACATGTTCGGGGGCAGTATTAGCTCATAGAAACAATAATTTTGTGAGTGTAGATGTAACCAAAGGAACATGCATATCAGCTGCCCTCTTGTCTTCAGATTCAGTAATACGGCGTGCAACGTGTCTGTTAATAGTTGTCGTCAACGTGAAAAGATCTTCCTTTTCTTTTTTATTTTTCATTGCTTCCAAAAATGCTTGAATCAAAAACGATGGAGTAGCAGCATCATGTTTGTTGGCAATTCTCTGAGGAATAGTGGATTTTATGATGAGCTGATCAGCATCTGTTGGTATTTTAATGACTTTTGGTGTCTCATAGTCCGGTATGGCTAAATATGTCACCTTATCTTTGAGAAGACTTAAATCATCCGCTTGGATAAGAAAGATTTTTGGCTTCCCTTTTGTTACATCTAGATTTTTCACTTCATCGATGAGTTTTGCCTGTGGGACAAGCCCTTCTGCCATAGATCTGTGGTCGAAATGCAGCAACTCTTCACTGTATTCCCCTACATGTTGAGGCTTACTGTATGTCAAAAAGACAAAAACAAAACATTGGTACTCAAGCGGCGCTTCTTGGCCTAGGTTTTCCAGCTCACGTTTGGGTTTTGGCTGTTCTTTGTCTAGTTTTTTCAGCTCAGATTTGAACTCTTCAAATGATGCTCTTATTTGCTGTTTAACTTCAATTTGTGTATCAAAGTTTCCTTCCTTGTCGAAAAAATTTCTGATTTGTTTCAAATCAATGTCTCGTTTGCAACCAGTGGCTTCTTCTGTCATCAGTATCTTACTTCCTTTTTTCTCTTCTGCTGAAAGATCATTAAAACCAAGTGGACTCGTCTGAGAGCAAATCCAAACGAGAATCTTCCCATATTTATTAATAGGGTACCTCAAGTCCATTTTAGGTATCTGAAACAGATAAAAAAAAAACAAGCCTACTCTTATACATGTATACCCGTGGTAATTGATGACAGACAAACATCTCTGATAGGTTCAAATATCAAATATTTAAACAATAAAGACATTTTTTTATTTCTCTGATACACGGTGGGGAATCACGGTAACGCGTACAGACGATATGGCAGCCTAAACTCCTCGCTTCACATATGTTTATCAGAAAATACTTCATTATATCCCTTTAACTTACATACGAGACCAGTTGCAGCCTACCCGGAAAAAGAATTGTTATGGCCTATACCTTATATCTCACCCCTGTGCTTATAGCTTTTACAAACACTCTTTATTTGATTATGTAAATATTAGGCATGTTAAATGCTGACTGGTCATTTTCTATTCCAATACACGAGAGAAAAAATATTTGGTTGAAACATGTTTATTTTTTTATCAAGTTACAATATTACACACCAAACACAAAATTTATACAAAATCATGATAAAGTGAATTGAACTGGAAGCTCAAAGCTTATTGTAATTCTCCCCACTTCTAGCTAGACATCGGTACAGATTTTGGCGATACAGATGATTTGATAGAATGGTACATCCAAGATAAAATATGTTAATATTATTATAGGAAAATAAAACAAAATTAGAACAAAACAAACAAAAAAATCGAGGGAAAAACATGCAGAAGTGTTAAGAAGTTTAAATTAGGAAAGAAATCCGATTAAAGAAGAAAATATGAGAAAATTTAAAAATATAAAGAAGTGTGAAGCTATAGAATTGGACGGACTGCAGAATGACACATTCATAAAGATGATGGACATTTTCAGATCAGTCAAAACGTTTAGACTTTTCAATATAAGTGTGAACAGCATTGAATATACATTCATTCTCTCCAGCTCATAAAGATGTGTTTCCTGAAATAATGATTTAAGAGAAACAATACAATAAGTATTGATAACATTTATCAAGGACGGTCTGATCTACAATGCAAGAGGAAGTGAGAGGCTGTTTCGCGTAATCCACAGATACAAAGAGGTGATGGGATGATATTTTTTTGGAAAATAGGTCATCTGCAAGTAAGCTACAATTTGTACGAATACGGGTCTGAATACTTTGATTTTTATGTTTTCCAAAGTAGAAGTATTGCGGTACAGTTTTTGTTTGTTTAAACAATTCTTTCTTAAAAGTTGAAACTGTTGGTGCATTTCTAAGAGATAAAGGAAGTTCATTAATTAAAAGCTCTTGTTGCAGGGAGAAATAAGTTATAGTACAGCGTTGCTCTAGCTCTTGATGTTCTAAGATATTCACGGTTACAGAGGAGATAATTTTCGTTATCAACTAATGGCGGACATAAATCTGAAAGATAAGATGGCGTTAGGTTAGACTTCATCTTGTAGAAAAGGAGTAGCTTATGTTTCTGACGTCTGGATTCTGAAGTGTCCTAACCAATTTCATCTAGAAGCTTTTGCAAAGAGACTAGTTTAGTTGCAACTGTAATAATACGGGTAGCCTCATACTGGACATTTTCAAGTGCATTTTTTTGCTCGAGTGTACAATTATCACCATATTCTAATATTGGCCGAATAAATGAAATGTATATAATTTGTATCGATTGTCGGTCAAGAGTAACCTTAAGCTTCCGCATTATATTTATACGGTGATAAGCCTTTCCAAGTACATAATCAATATGAGTATTCTATTTCAAATTATTTGCTAAAAATAAGACCTAAATGTTTGTGGCTAGATATCTCCGAATTTCAACATTGTTCATAAATACGCGAGAATGGTGTGGGGGTTTGGTTTACGAGACATGATTAGAGATACTGTTTTCTTAGTGTTGAATTTCACTAGCCACTTTGTGGCCATCTTGATATTGTAAGTCAGCGTTCAAAGTTTCGGTTGCACTTACTTGACCTTTTACTGTAATATAAAGACTGGTATCATCAGCGAACAGGCGTATATTAGCTTTAATGTCGGCAACAATATCATTGATAAAAATGAGAAAATAAGGGGACCCAAGATGGACCCTTGAGATACACCTGCTCTGATAAAATTCCACCTTGATGAGCACCTGGAACAACGACCCTTTGTTTTCTGTTCGACAGATAAGAGGAGAACCAACCTATAAGATTTCCTTTAATACCGAATCTTCTCAATTTATATAAGAGGCCTTTATGCCAAACCCTATCAAAAGCTTTGCTGATGTCGCAAAATACTGCTCGGACCTCTTTTCCAGAGTCAAATGCCTCAGTAAAGAAATTATACAAGTAAGTAAGCTGATTTACGGTTGAAGCACCGGGGACAAAACCTGACTGAAAAGGTTTTAAAAGGTTATGTGATAAAAGATGGTTATAAATATTCATAAAAACAATTCTTTCAAAGACCTTCCCTGTTGTACATAAAAGAGATACAGGACGGTAATTCCCAGGTAAAGATCAATCACCGGATTTGAAAATTGGAGTGAACTTGGCTTCTTTCCACGTTTGAGGATATCTAAAAATACGAAGAGACTGAGTGAATAGATCTGAAAAAGGAATAGACAATTCTTTGGAAAGTTCTTTTAAAATCCTGTTGTGAATTCCATCGGGGCCCCGATGCTTTTACCTAAAGTAAGCGTTTGTAGTATTGAATCTACTTCGGTCGATGACGTAACAATTGAATTTAATTTATGAGGTGAAAGCTCTTCGTCCTCAATAATCTGTGTAGGGTTTTCGTCTAAAATGGTTTGATCACGATCACGAAAATAATTGTTAAAAATATCAGCTTTACACTGTTCATCTTCAAAAAGATTGTCACCGTCTTGCAACGGCGGTATTGTTGAATAGCCATTTGATGGTTTTATAAAAGATTTTAGACAAGACCAGCAAGACCAGCAAGACATAGTTGATCTAGATGAAGTTTGAAGGTTTGCAGCAAGTTATTGGATGTGACCATCTTTAGCATTTCTAATATCTGAAATTATTTGATTACGCAGAGATTTAGATTTTGTCCAGTCAGCTGCATTGTTTGTTCGTTTCGCTTTTCTGTATGCTCTGCGTCTACGTCTTATTTGGAGTTTTAAGTGTGATGTTATCCACTTGTTAGTCACTTGGATGAATTATTATTTGTTTAGTTGGAATACAAGAGTTCGAACATCTTAAGATGACATCAGAAACATTATTGGCATATGTATCAATGTTTATGTCTTTCAGTTCTTCCCAGTTGACAGCTGTAAAGTTCTCTCTAGGTAGCTGATAATTACCTTTGTCAGAAAGCCAGATATGTCGTTTAAAAGACGCCATCTTAGGTTTCTTAAAAGTAAGAAAACCATATACAGGGCAATGTTAATGTATTGTTTGATCAAAACAAGGGTCACTTACTCATGAGTAAATAATTAGAGAAGGATTAGATGTAAGATCAATGAGAAAAGATGAATGCTCTGTAAAGTGAGTTGGGTCTTGTTTGCATTGAGAAAGAGAGAATTGTTGACACAGGGCTTTCATTTTTGTTGCTAAGACTGGATTCTGCATGTTTATTGAAATCACCAGTTATGATGATAACCTTCATGCCTGTATCCACAGCAAGATGTATCGAGTCCTCAATACAACTGTGTGTGTAAGCTGTTGTATAGGGAGGTCTGTAGAATACTCCAAAAAGTATATGTCTCGTAGTTGTAACAAGTTCAATCCAGATAGACTCGACACCAGGGATATCTAGATCATGTCGACGTTTTTAATGAATATAATGTTTTACATAATTTTAAGAGTAAACCACCATGGCTGTCACCAAGTCTGTCTCTTCTTTCTGGATCTTGAAAGGAATTAAGAGAGTGAGAGAGAGTTGAGAAATCAATAGAATAGTTCAGCCAGGTTTCAGAAAACGAAAGAATAAGTCCTTGAATTCAGCAAATATGTTGTCAAATTTGTTTTTTATACTTTGTACATTGCAATGCATGAATAACACGTACATAGATAAATCTATTGTGTCTGTTGAGGATATGGAAGAGATAAAACTTGACCTTGGTGACACAGGTCCTGTATTTGGTTGAACGTCTCCAGATAAACCGACTTATGTAATTTGAAAAACAAGCAGTCCCGTTGTAGAAAATAAAACCGTATATATGCCGAATTAGGAAAACAACACATTTGACATTTGTTTATCGGATAACGGTTTGCTGTATGTATGCCTGTAAGGCACCGTGCCAATGGAATTCCAGATATATTTCAGCAATGAAACCAAAAAGAATATCGAAAAAAAAAACAAATAAAAGAAAACCATGACATATAAAGTCAAACGCCATCTAGATCTGAGTCTGAAAACCTTCATGACGACGGGCTTCATTTCATCTACGATCATTATGTTATTCCTTGCTCATTCAATAAATTTCTTAAGACGGTCGTCAAGAAGTAAATATCCATAATCAGAAATAATTTAGTATGACACTCGCAGTACGCTTCAATTGAGTGAAAAGATAGAACGGGAAAACAGACAGAACAAAAAGAGAGAATGATAAGCATAAGTTGCATGATTATAACATAGTGGAAAATGTGGAAATAGGACAACATATGGTTCTTTGTTATATTATTAAAAATCATATGAGACGACGAAGCAACTTTTACTACACGTTTTACTAATTTCTAATCAAGGTATCAGAAGCAGTGTGTGTACTTAATTAATATTGAAAAAAAATGAGCTTGTAAAAAGTTCTTGAAAAAAAAAGCATTTAAAGAAAATATACAATATTGGACCAATTTTCGACCTTTCCAAACTTCGCACCAAAGTGATAACTAAAATTCGTTTTAAAATAAACAAATTGCATAATTGTAATACATTCACAAACTGTTCAATATTCACTTAAAAATTAATATTCCGATTAAAATATTACACTGATATGTAATATAAATGTGTTTTCAAAATTACTGCTATAACACAAATCAGATGTATGAGACAAATTTCCATTTAAAAAACGGTTATATATGAAACATTCCGTTGAAAAGTTACATTTTAAGATCCACTCCAACGTAACAGTTCCAAAAATAATTCAGAAAAATATTACATAATAATGCATTAAAATATTTCCTATAAACATAAACTTGTTAAAGCTGTCGACAAATTAAACATATACTAATCCTTTACATTTGCAGTATTTATTTCACTTACTCAATTATGTATTAAAATTTTTCCCCATAAACATGAACCTTTGAAAGCATGCAGGCTTAATTAAATATACTAATACACAGACAGCATCTTTTTTATCAACTTAAAGATATATTAAAATTAACTTGTTAACAAATGAAGGCAAACTTAACATGTACTAATATTATGAATATGCAGTATTTATTTTATCACATGTAGGCATAATTTAACATATAATTATACTTTATATGCGCATACATTCAAAATTAATGTTATATCATAAATAAATTGTGCGGAGCGCATTTTTTTTTATACATATGACAAAAACAACAAAAATCAAAACAAAACAATATTAAACTTTCCCTACGTAACTTAAATCATTTTTTTAAAAATTATCATAAAAATGTTCCATTTTAAACATGTATTTTTTTTACGCTTATCTGTGTCACATGTCGGCATAAATTAAGCATACATGTAATACGATATGTGCACATTCCATTTTAGTTTAATTCTATAGCATATATCTCAATCCAGTCATGACGGTATACTGAACATGTATATAGATATTATTAAATGTGTGTATACAAATGAAACGTTTATCACATTTAATACTGAATATAATCCACAAATAGTACATTTGAAGACAAAATAATACTTTACATTACTATTACTAGTATAAAGCAAAAATGTAATATACATGTATATCAAGACAAAAGCGAAAGTACAGTGTACTAAATTGAAAACGAAGTCGGTTGAGTTATAGATGTTGATGTTGTGGACAGTTATCAAACTAAAAGATCAAATATATATTTACCTCGTTATCTTAGATATCAATATATATACACTGAAAAATAACAAAAAGTTACATGTCTTTTTTATTGTCCTTGTTTGTCAATCGCAACTTCTTCTTCTTCTTCCAGTATAAGAGCCGGGATCCAAACGGAACGTAATGAGGCTCTGCGAAAACTATGTACATGGTGAGATGGAACACTCTTCCGCTCAGCGATAAAAGTTGTAAAAACTGATAAAAACTTTATTTACAGAGACGTTGTGAAGTGAATTTAGACGGAGGCCGGCAGGCGCGCGCGGAAAGCATCCAATGTTTCCGCGGCGGTGACAGTTGATGCCAGGCCATTCCAATCAACAATTGTCCTGGGGAAGAAGGTATTTGTATACATCCTGCCAGTGGTGCGTTCTTGGTAGAAACGTATACGTGTTCTACTGTCACTGGTGTTCTTCTTGGATTGGTTACTCAGTGGTAGGTACTTGTCCTTGGGGATGTCTACTAGGTCATGTTGAATGCGGTAGAGCATGCCTAACCTTGCTTCCTTCCTTCTCTGTTGGAGGGTATTCCAATCCAGGCTCCTCAGCATTTCTGTCATACATCCAGGTGTTCTGGATTTATAGTCATTTTTGACAAACCTGGCTGCCCTTTTCTGGATCTGCTCAAGTGAATCTATGTGTGTCTGAAGATGAGGATCCCAAACCGTTGCTGCATATTCAAGACCTGGGCGTACAAAAGTGCAGTAACTTGCTGCTTTCAGTTGTGGTGTACAATCCTTCAAGTTTCTCCTCACAAATCCCAGTGTTCTGTTTCCTTTGGCAGCTACATTCTGTATGTGCTTGTCCCATGAGAGGTTGTTGGAGACAGTTACACCAAGGTATTTGCTGTGGTCCACTGATTGCAGGACTTGGCCATGAAGTATATACTGGTGTTGGTGATCTATCTTTCTGTTTGATGATATGTGTAATACATAGCACTTGGAAGCATTGAAGCGCATAAGCCAGGTTCGTTCCCATTGTTCCAAAGCTTCAAGATCCTGTTGCAGCCTTGTCTTGTCATTTGTACTCTTGATGACTCTGAACATGAGGCTGTCGTCCGCAAAGAGTCGGATGTCAGATGATGTGCAGTCAGGCATGTCATTTATGTAGGCCAGGAACAAAAGTGGACCTAGAACGGTTCCCTGGGGAACGCCAGATATAACATCATCTTGATCAGACTTGGTGCCTTCAAGGACTACCTGTTGCTTGCGGTTGCTCAGGAAGGATTTGATCCACTGGTTTAAGGGACCTCTCACGCCATAGAAATCTAGCTTGTAGAGGAGTCTGGAATGAGGGACTTTGTCGAACGCCTTCTCGAAGTCAGTAGAATGGCGTCTACTTGGGTACCCGCTGAGAGATACTTGGCGATGGTGTCAACTGTTGTTAAAAGTTGAGTTTCGCATGAGCGACGTTTCCTGAAACCATGCTGGTTGTCTCTCAGTATATGGTTGGTGTCAAAGTGTGACATTATATTACTGTGGACAATGTGTTCCAGGATCTTGCAGGTGATCGATAGACGGGCCTATAGTTGGCCGGGATGTGTGTATCTCCCTTTTTGTAGATGGGTACTACATTTGCATCTCTCCAGTCCTGAGGTACTTCAGAAGAGTCAAGGGAGAACTGGAAAAGGCGGGTAAGTATTGGTGCCAGTTCATCAGCAGCTAAATGGAGGAACCTGGTCGGAATCTCATCAGGGCTGCAGCTTTATGGCAGTTAAGATTTTGGAGTAATTTCCGTACTCCTGGTTCCCTAACTGTAATAGATGACATGCTGGGGTGGCTACTTGGTCCCTTGTCAGGTAAGTTCTCTGTGGGTTCTCGGGTGAAGACAGAGCTGAACTGCTGGTTCAGTATACTGGCCTTGCTCTTGCTGTCACTCCGAATGAAACCAGCAATGTTCTTCAGGGGAGCTACACCAACCATTTCCTGACCCTTGCTCTTGATGTAGGAGTAGAACTTCTTCTTGTTGTCTGGACTACTGTCACTGATGATGTCTTGCATATACTGCCGGTTTGCTCGTCTTGTGTGCCACTGGACTTCTTTTTGCAGTCGCTTGTAACGATCTCTGTCTCGTTTGGAGTTTGATTTCCTAGCTTTCTTAAAGGCTTTTTGTTTCCGTCGAATGGTTCTTTTAATGGTGGAATTCATCCATGGATTTGTATATTTAGAACAAGTGAGTTTAGATGGTACTCTCTTGGTTATAATTTCTGTGATCTTTGTTTTAAAAGCATGCCACATCGATTCAATGTCTGTGTATGGGGTGTTCTGGAATTCGGTTGCTAGAGTACGGGTGTCTTCTTTGATGGCATTAAGGTCCGCCTTTTTCCATAGTAATATTTTCCGTCTTGCTGGGCGTGGATGGTATGTTTGGATCGAAGTGTCGAGGAGCACAATGTCATGATCGCTGTTCCCTATCGAGGGCATAGGTTTTAGGTTTGACTTTTCGGTCAACTTTACAGTGATCTCCCCTAAAAGGATTATTATCTTTAAAATGCAAGTTTATTGAAACATTTTTTTCATAAAAGGCACCAGAGATTTTTCAACACTAAAAATTGAGTTAAACTATTGAGTTAAATCCAAATATAATACCGTGTATGTTACATTTTGCTATAAAATGGTTAACTACTTGTTGCCACAACATCGGCTATCAAAGTACCAGCGAAAGGTATCCTCCCTTGCGAATATATTTTTTCATATGGAAGACACTGATTAACTTTAGAACAAATAGTACGAAAATTGACCGGGCCGAGTCCTTGACGAGAGTCGACATTGTCCGTGTTTTGAAGTACGGTACATGAATGGGATTTAGCAGAATATGTTAATTTTATTTCAACCAATCAAATGTCACGTTGCTCAGTGCCGAAAGCATAGGTGTTATATGAGCTGCAATTGGTTAACATTATAAATATGGTTGACAAAATTTTTACCTGTGAAAAATGTCCTACTTTGTGAAAAACTTACATTTTGTTAAAATGCATGACGGATCAGGTGGATAAATAATTTGAAATGAACTACAGTAAGCGCATAGCGCTTCCTCGCTCCTCAGTCGTTACGGACAGGTACTTGAAAAAACATTATCAAAGTGACCTAAAATCGTTAAAATTTACACCATAGTCCATACATCATGCTGTAAATATTTATCGTAGAAGTCAAATATTATGGCATTGCTGTTTTCTTCCTCTTTTCTACTTATTTATTCCTTACATAGTGTAGTTTATTATTTCTTTTTAAGACCAAGATATACATCACTTCGTCAATCTGGAGTGGTAAGACTTAAAGGTGCTAGTCGCATTTGGTTTGACCTAAAATCTGTTTAATCTTGTTATTCATGTAATAAACTACTAATATCATATCAATATATTTAAGATTTAAAAAAGTATTATTTGTTGTTGTTATATTGTTAAAGACAATGTATGCAATATCCGGATACGAAAATGATTGGCATGTCTGTTCTCGGTGTCAAAATTAGTTGGATTTTCACATGGAATCAATGCAATATATATTTTCTATTAAAACTGACTATGAACAGATCCTTATTTACATGCAAATTACCGCAGTAAAGCCCAAATTTAGAAATCCCCTATGTCCAAAAGATAAGACCGTCATGACGGTAGACAGACGTTTCACTATTGAGACGGTTCACACCAAGACGGTTCACACCAAGACGGTTCACTCCCAAATGGGAGTGAAACGTCTTGAAGACGTTTCACTCCCTTTTTATACCAAAATTTTTCTAAGACTGATGATATACTAAAATAAATAGACTTTGTATTTAATAAAAATTAATTACACTTTTTGTTAATGACTATTTACTCCGTACTTAAGTTTGTGTATCATAATTGTTATCCCTGTTTCTATATTTATTATCGTACATGTGGAACAGGTAAGAATGCATTATTTTGTTATCATAAATACTTTTTAAACAGTAAATTATATTTTATAGACAAAATAATGAAATTTTAGACCCTGTATTATGTACGTATATGTAGAAGGTTTAAACCTTTGTCAAGCAGTACCTATATAGATAAGTAATTTAACTTAATGGCCATTGCAATCAGAAATGCCTTTAGATAAAATTAAAATAAAAGCATTGGGACTTTTTCAATATTTGTGACGTAAAATCATTATTTTGTGACTAAAATTCAATATAAAAGAAAAATTGTCTTTCATAACATGAGCCATCTTAAATCATAATAAAACTGATGATATTAAAGAATGATGATATTAAATATCAGAGAAGTTGCATGAAAACATATTAAAATTTACATACATTGTGGTTCATGTTCTTCTTCTTTATTTTTAGCTCACCTGTCACAAAGTGACAGGGTGAGCTTTTGTGATCGCTTTTCGTCCGTCGTCCGTCCATCCGTCGTCCGTCCGTAAACTTTTGCTTTAAATGACATCTCCTCATAAACCACTGAGCCAATTTCATCCAAACTTCAGAGGAATGTTCCTTTGGTGGTCACCTTTAAAAATTGTTCAAAGAATTTAATTCCATGCAGAACTCTGGTTGCCATGGCAACCAAAAGAAAAAACTCGACCGATGCGTTGGTACTTTAACAGAAGTCTGGCTATGACAGACACATTTCTGCCAAAAACTCGCGCCACCTGAAAATAAACAAACAAGAGTGATGTGTTATTCCCTTCTAATTATAAGAAAGTAAATATTAAGTTTTGAGCAAATTATGTATCATATCAGAAATATCATAAATAAAGCAGTATTAACTTGGCATTGTTAGTATTTAAAAATATATCACAAACTTACCTGTCTGGCTGAATGACCTGCCTGAAGCATGCCGATTGCACGTGCGCGCTCTTGTATTTGCATACGAACCATTTAATGTTTTACCGGATATCTATGTTTTTTCAATGTTATTGACTCAATACTATAGTTATATTGAAATAAAATCTAAAAGGTTTGCCAAAATCGTTTTCCTCGTGCAAAAAGTTGATTTCATACCGATAGAACGTGCGGAACCGATAATCCGTCATGGATGAATGATTTCGTTGAAAATATTTGCAAAAGGTAGTCAAATCGGTTCTGGTAAAATATAAGTAAGATATATTGAAGTGTTTTTGTGAAATACGAATTTAAAAAGTGTTGCGTTAGAAAAGTCTTTCAGTGTATATCAGATTAAATATTATTTTAATTTGTTATATAAACAAAACTTATAATGGAGAAGTTTCTGTTTCCAAGACTTTTGTTTTAATTGGATGTCATCTATAAACAATTTTTATGGTCCAATAAACAACTGATTAGTAAACTGTTGATGCTAAAGTGCAGTGTTTATACAACTGATTTAATAGTGATGTCAAACTGTTAGTTGTTGGTCTCAGTGTTTATACAACTAATTGGGTGATGAGATTACTGTTAACACCACAATTACCTACGTTTGTTTAATGGCTACTTTTTAATAAATTAATAAAGAAAAATTCAAAAGAATAATTAATTTTATACAAATCTTTTGCATATCATCGTTTAAGATACATGAAATAACAAATATTTTAATTTTATAATATTATTACTATATAATTGATATTTTTTATTATTTTAACAATAATTTTTTTGATAAAAATAATTGATATCAAGTTAATGACATTATTTCCATGTGACTTATTTTTTATTAAAGTACTAATGACAATATTATTCTCAAGAGTTTATATTATAGTTTATATAAGTAAATTAGTTACTTAGTATGAATTCCTTTTTAACAATAAATTATTGTGTGTTTTATTTTGAGTAACCAACATCACCTATTAAACCATTTTTCAATGCAACAAAAATAAAAAAATGTATATTACAGAACTTTAATTGCTTATCTACAACAGAAAAACATACATCAATATAAATAATCAATCCTGATATGGCTATTAAAAATGGAAATAAATTTGTTAACTTTCCTAAAAAATATCTAAAAAAATGGGAGTGAAACGTCCATACAATTGACAAATTGGGAGTGAAACGTCTAGGTGTGAACCGTCTTGGGAGTGAAACGTCTCAATAGTGAAATGTCTTGGGAGTGAAACGTCTGACATTCCGTCATGACATGTATTGATATATTCATAATATTGTAGCCTGGTTATTAAATATTATTTATTTTTCCCCTAAAAACAAAAAAATGTCCCCTCAAATATATTATTTAATGGCCATAGATCAGGGATCCCGTTTTTAAGTTGAATCTTATACAAAGCATCAAAGATGCATTTAACTTCATTTGAAATAACCAAAATATTTCCTGACAGCAGCTCATTGTTGATAAATTTGTTAACTGAATCTTGAATCTTCCTTTAGCTTGTTTTTAATGATTTAATTTTCTTCTGTTGAAATTCCCCCTTGAATGAAAAATATTTGAAAATCATGTAAACCAACCCACCCCCCCTGCATCAACTCTGGCCCCAGTCTCAAAATGCTAACGAGAGCCCTGAAAGTACTTGCCCCTCAAAGTGGCTTTGAATCCTGACAGGGATGTGAACTTTTTCCCTCTGTTTTATGAAAATAAGTGAAATTTTGGATGTGAAGGGGCCTTTTATAGGCTCCCATTATAGAAGGTAAAAAAGCCCTGCTTTGGATTCTTTCATATAAGGAAGCTCTCCAGCTAGCTTATGGAACATAAGTGGTTCTACTCAGGTGCCTGTTCGTGCCTGAAATAACGCAAGGAAGGGTACCTGCGGTTCTTCCTGCACCAGTAAAGCTGGAATGTCACCATATGGCTTATAATATTCTGTGTTGGTGTGATGTAAACCCCTATCAAACAAACAAACTTTCATGTTCAATTTGTCAAAGCACATCTTGCTGATAAGAAGTCACATGAGAAATGACATATTGTTCTTTACATTTAAAATAAAACAACAAAATATATGTCAAAGTTAAAAGGAATTTGTTGAAACTTCATAGATTTTTAATAGGTAGAAATTTTATTGAAAAATTACGTGTTATTTTAAAATGATTATAGTGACTTTCACTGGAAGTAAACTTATTAACATATATACTCATTATAGGGTTAAAGTTTATTTGTATGTAATTATTAAATTTAATTGGTCAGTGGCAGCACAGCTGTGAGACCAATTGAATTTTGTAAATACCTACTTACAAATTTTAAACAGCTTAGTATTTAAAATTATTTTTATAAACAGCCAATTTACTAGACTGAAAAACAGTTTTCTGATTTACCAAACTCAAAGTATACTGTAAATGTGTTACGATTCATTTGAAATACTGAAATCATATTGGACAAATTTTAAAAAGCAGTTAACCATTTTTATTTGGCCATTGTTGTTTGAATCTAAATGGTTCTTAACCAATAAAAATTTCTTATTATAGTAAATACATGGTACTTAAGATGCAAAATCAACAGATTTTATTGTACTTAAATGAAATGGCTTGTTTCATTTCCACCAAATTAATGCTTCTACCTTTTTTTGCCTTTTACAAGTTGGCTAAGCATTATAGGCAACAGCTTACATAATTTATTTAATGAGATGAAAGCATCATTCTGTATAAATGAGTAGATATATCATCAACAGTTATTTTAATTCAATTGTTTTTGTCAGAAACCAACAGTATACATGTACAATACTATATTGATATGTGGCTGAGGGAAATGATTGTGTACTGAGGTCTTTTCTTTTTGTGATTTTAGTGATAGTGCCATTGGCGAAGACTTTGATGATGATGGACGAAGTCACAAACGTGCTGGGGGTGGAAAAGATAAGTAAGTTGATACTTATATGAGCCGCTTCATGATAAAACCAACATAATGGGTTTGCGACCAGCATGGATCCAGACCAGCCTGCGCATCCGCTAGTGATGGAGAATCGGACCAAAAACATAATCGATAATCGAATTGAATCAAACATAATTAATCGATTAAAATCGGTAAATAATCGAAAACTATTTGTAAATATGCTGGTTCATCTACCAGTTGGCTATAATTAGAAATACACTAGTACACATCTTTTCAAATATCTATTCTTTCATTTGCTTATAATATATGATCATATATTACAAACCACAGACTAGATTTACATATCAATTGTTTGTAAAACCTAAAAAAAAAGTTAAATGAAACGTTTAGACAAAGCATAATCTCCTTAACAATAGCAATTTAGCTCTTTTTAACCATTTAAATTCACAATAAACTTTAACTATCACTAAGCTTGAAGAAGCACAAATCTAACAGTAAGAATCCATGTTCATTTTAAAAAAAATTATTGCTTTCACTTTCTCTGGACTAAGGTAGGTCTGGGCTCCTTGTCGCTGGCTCTTGGTACTGGTTCGGGTGGGGGCTGCATTCATTGAACGCCACCTTTCCTTGTTGATCTTGTTTATCTTATTTTGAACTAGATACAGTATGACTAGTTTCATCAGTGTTACGGTGATGTTTGTCGAAATGCTGCTGTAAATTTCTTGTATTACCTAAAAAAACACAAACATAATTTTCTCAGTTGATACTTTCCATTTAAAAACCACTACTTAAATTCTTTTATTTTCTTTTTTTTTTTAAATCATATTTTGGACTGTGGCTTAGTTTTCAAAAATATTCATTTTTAGCTCGACTTTTTTTTTTGAAAAAAAAATAGAGGTATTGCTACAGTCAGGTCGGCGTTGCCGTTGCCGTTGCCGTCCGAAAACTTGTACCTGGATCATAACTTTTTTATTTCTTTGTGTATTGTCTTCATACTTGGCCACAACAACCCTTGGGACAAGACCTTTCAGTAGACCACACTAACCTTGACCTTCATCCATAAATGACCTTGACCTTCAAGGTTAAAAGTCCAATTTTTGCTTGTTCATGCTTGTTATTGGCTGTAACTTTGTTATTTTTGAATGGATTGTCTTCAAACTTGAAACATAATAATCTTTAAGGATATCCCTTAAAAATAACCAGCCAGACCTTGACCTTCACTCATAAATGACCTTGACTTTGAAGGTCAAAATTATTGAAATTTTCATTTTTTTTGGCTTTTATTGGCTGTAAGTTTTGTTATTTTTGAATGGATTGTCCTGAAACTTGAACATAATAATCTTCAAAGATTACTGTTAAAGATATACTGAAAGACCTTGACCTTCACACATTAATGACATTGTCTTTGAAGGTCAAATTATTGAAATTTTTCATTGTTTTGGCGGACTGACTGTAACTTTGCTATTATTGAAGGGATCAACTTCATATTATAAGAAGAACATTCTTAAGGACCAGACCTTGTTGTTTATCAAACCCAACTTTGCTTGGGCTCTTAAATGACCTTGACCTTGAAGGTTAAATTACTGAATTTTCTCAGATTTGTGCATTAAATGACCATATTTAAATATTTATTGGTGTGTGTGTGTCTATATATATATATTTACAACAACAACAACAATAACTAAAATTGTGTCATTGTTTCTATTTATAGAATTGCGTCATTGTTTCTATTTATAGAATTGCGTCATTGTTTCTATTTTACAGAAATTGGGTCATTGTTTTCTTTATAGAAATGCGTCATTGTTTCTATTTTTAGAGATTGCATCATTTTTTCTATTTTTAGAAATTGCGTCATAATTTCTATTTTTAGGAAATTGCATTCATTTTTTTCTATTTTTAGATATTGCGTCATAATTTTTATTTTTAGTATTTTTAGAGATTGCATCATTTTTCTATTTTTTAGAAATTGTGTCATAATTTTCTATTTTTAGAAATTGCGTCATTGTTGCTATTTAGAGAAATTGCGTCATTGTTTCTAATTTTAAAGATTGTGTCATTTTTTCTATTTTTAGAAATTGTGTCATAATTTCTATTTTTAGAAAAATTGCGTCATTGGTGCTATTTTTAGATATTGCGTCATTTTTTCTATTTTTTTAGAAATTGCGTCATAATTTCTATTTTTAGTATTTTTAGTGATTGCATCATTTTTTCTATTTTTAGAAACTGCATCATTGGTGCTATTTTAGAAATTGCGTCATTGTTGCTATTTTAGAAAATGCGTCATTGTTTCTAATTTAAGAGATTGTGTCATTTTTTCTATTTTTAGAAATTGCGTCATAATTTCTATTTTTTAGAAATTGCGTCATAATTTCTATTTTTGAAAATTGCGTCATTTTTTTCTATTATAAGAAATTGCGTCTATTTTTCTATTTTTAGAAATTGCGTCATAATTTCTATTTTTTAGAAATTGCGTCATTTTTTCTATTTTTAGAAATTGCGTCATAATTTTCTATTTTTAGAAATTGCATCATTGGTGCTATTTTTTAGAAATTGTATCATTGTTGCTATTTTTTTAGAAAATGTGTCATTGTTTCTAAATTTAGAGATTGTGTCATTTTTTCTATATTTAGAAATTGCGTAATAATTTCTATTTTTAGAAATTGCGTCATAAATTTCTATTTTTAGAAATTGCGTCCATTGGTGCTATTTTTAGAAATTGCGTCATTTTTTTCTATTTTTAGAAATTGCGTCATAATTTCTATTTTTAGAAATTGCGTTATAATTTCTATTTTTAGAAATTGCGTCATTGGTGCTATTTTTAGAAATTGCGTCATTTTTTTCTACTTTTAGAAATTGCGTCATAATTTCTATTTTTAGATATTGCGTCATAATTTCTATTTTTAGTATTTTTTAGAAATTGCGTCATTTTTTTCTTTTTTTAGAAATGCTTCCTTTTTTCTATTTTTAGAAAATTGTGTCAATTTTTCTATTTTTTGAAAAATTGCATCATTGTTGCTATTTTAGAAATTGCATCACTTTTTTATTTTTTAGAAATTATGTCATTTTTTGTATTTTTAGAAATTGCGTCATTTTTTCTATATTGAGAAATTGCGTCATGTTGCTATTTTAAGAAATTGCGTACTGTTGCTATTTTTAGAAATATGCTTAATGTTTCTATTCATATATATACAAAATATATAAAGAAAACTAATGTGACAAGACAGACCAACTAAATTTATATAAAGGAAACGTTAATATATGTACAAACCTTTCTATGTTTGCGTTTAGAAAAAGTAAAAAGTCGAGCGTTGCACCCGCCCGGCGGTGGCTCTTGTTTCATTTTAAATCAACCTTACATTGATACATAACACGTTAAACATTATAATTTACAAAGCATGTTATCATGTTGACAATTGCCTACGATAAAAACTGGTACAAGAACTACATGTTCAGTAACAGGTTATATCCGGAAAATGGAAGAAATAAAGTATTCATTTTTAATTAACCTTACCTGGATACATTACAAGTTATACATTATCATTTATATAGCATTGAACATAATTTCCTACAATAAAAACTTGTACATGAACCACATGTCCACTAACAGGTTATATCCGAAAAAATGGAAGAAAATATTCACCTTTGTTTGCATACGACTTCATGTATAATCGGCAAATGACGGTGTCGTCATGTGAAGGTTGTGCTTGGACTGGGCGGAACCGTCAGAATGTTTTTTAAAACCAAAGACAACGCCAAACTGATGAGCGTGTTCTTCCCTGGGAAGTTGAAAATTTCCTTGTCCGGACTTTTACGATGAGAGTAACGTCCCTTTTCTGATTTTCTTTTTAACCCAAAGAAATGTAAGTAGCAACATCGATTTTACAGTAAAGAAATCGATTGTCGCTAACATAAGCGGCCAGCGACGATTATTGGATTCTACTCGATCATCGTGACATCACTAGCATCCGCGCAGTCTGATCAGGATCCATGCTGTTCGCTATCAGTTTCTCTACTTGTTAAAAGGTTTAAAAGCGAACAGCATGGTGCGCAGATGCATGGATCCATGCTGGTCGCAAACCCATTATGTTGGTTTTGTCATGACACGGCGCATATGTTCATGTTGGTTATTGATTATTGTAGAATAACATGATAATATGTAATATAACTTATTATATTGTTTTAAGGTTATTATATTATACCATATAATGATATTATGTTAAATTTGTGATAGGACCTTAAGTCTGAACATGAGTTACATCCATAGTGTATGTGATTTACCACACCTGTCACTTGTATGATCAAACACGTTTATGTAACTTGATAGGGACATTGCCAATACCCTGTAGACCCCTCTTGACTAAGAGGTAAGAAGGTCAAAGTTCAAGGTCACTGTCTCAAAGCCAGTCAAAGCTGTTCAGACCAAACTAGAAAACCCTAGGCTTACATTAAATACAATCCTAAGATTATGTGTGTAGGTTGGTCATGACTTGTAAATTACCCTTATTCATTTTGAGGTTAGAAGGTCAAAGGTCAAGGTCCAGCAGGGAAAATGTTAATAAACAATTAAACTCAAAATATGCTGTAAATTTCATGTCATTTTTCTATAAAGATAAAAATATTAGTTATAATTAATGATAAGTTGAGGATAATTTAAATGGGGTCATTCTGTTGTCTTAAAGTGCTAAAAACAAGTGTGACCCTTAATATTACTTGGACTATGAGAAGAACATTTTTGTGTCGCCTCTACGGAGATCACTTCTCCGTCGTCTGTCCGTCCGTCTGTCCGTCCGTCTGTCCGTCCGTCCGTCACAAAACTTGTCCGGACTACTCCTCATAAACTACTAATGCAATTTCATCCAAACTTTACAGGAATGATTAGTACCAAGTCTAGTTGTGCATATTGTCAGCATTTTCCGGTTCAATGATTTTTGTCAGAGTTATGGCCCTTTAATAATTTTTAATTTTAAAGTTTGTCCGGACTACTTCTCTTATACCACTAATGCAATTTCAATGAAACTTTACAGGATTGATCTGTAGCTCAAGTCCTTGCGCATATTGCACGGGTTATCCGGTTGAATGATTTTTGGCCGGGTTATGGCCCTTTGATAAAAAGGTTTCTTTTTCTGTGTGTTGCCAGATACACAAAAGCTTGTCCGGACTACTCCTCATAAACTACAGGTGCAATATCATCCAAACTTTACAGAAATGATCAGTACCAAGTCTAGTTGTGCATATTGTCAGCATTTTCCGGTTCAATGATTTTTGTTTGAGTTATGGCCCTTTAATAATTTTTATTTTTAAAGTTTGTCCGGACTACTTCTCTTATACAACTAATGCAATTTCAATGAAACTTTACAGGATTGATCTGGAGCTCAAGTCCTTGCGCATATTGCACGGGTTATCCGGTTGAATGATTTTTGGCTGAGTTATGGCCCTTTGATTAAAATGTGTTTTTTTTCTGTGTGTTGCCAGATACGCAAAAACTTGTCCGGACTACTCCTCATAAACTACTGGTGCAATTTTATCCAAACTTTACAGGAATGATCAGTACCAAGTCTAGTTGTGCACTGTCCGTCTGTCTGTCCGTCTGACACAAAATTTGTCCCAACATGAAATTGGCCATCATGAGGCGACACATGTGATTACTGATCGCTCTTGTTTTTTTTTTTGTCAACATTTCAGTACTATATTATGGTAGCGTCATATTTATCAACTAATTCCAAAAATTTTCATGATAAGGATATTGTCTTGCATTGTGCAAACAATTAAAATTAAAGTGTTGAACTTTTTAAAGCTGTTTTTTTCCTTGTTAGGATTAACCGCAATCTTAGTGAGAAAAAGCGAAGGGATCAGTTTAATCTACTGGTCAATGAACTATGTACAATGGTGTCAACAACAAACAAGAAGATGGACAAATCCACTGTCCTTAAATCTACTATAGCTTTTTTGAAGGACCATCAGGGTATGTGATGCTTGTTTTGTTATTGATATGTAAAGCAAATAGCAACTTCTGTACATACAACTGTAAATCGGTCCATATTTCTTTAACCTAACTTACAGGCTTTTTCTTTATATTATTACTTCACACATGCAGAAGTTCAGCAGAACTTTGTGATTTATTACATAAGTAAATGCTTACATTGACGGCCATATTTTTATGCTCACTGAAGCCGAAGTTAGAGCATAAGTACAGTCTCTGCCTATTCAATATGTTCATCCATCCAGAGGATAACTTGAAAAGAATTTAAGGGTTTGATAAAAAATTCACAGTGATATAGACCAATTACAGGAATTGCGTTGTCAAGAACCATAACTCTAGTGTTTCTTAGTTATATTCCTATTACAGGTAAAAATGCTTGTCTGTGGCATGACTTCCAAACTCTCAGTGATATCTCATTGAAGCCTCACACAGTGACAGAGACTAATTGGAGGAAAGGCATTGCCAAAGAACCATGACTTTGCATTGATTTGAATTATCTCCCTTTATGATACTTAATAACCCTTGACTATAGATTTACTTTAGATGTATTGAGGAATTAAAACTTTCCATGGTGATAGAGACCGTCTCTTTCTGCCTAAACTTATTAATAACTTTTTGAACTGTATAGTTATGTTGTATTAAAGTTGTGTTGTTTTACAGTTCTGTTATGATTTCCCTTTTTTTAGAAACAACGAATCAAGCGCATGTACATGAAATAAAGGAAGATTGGAAACCATCTTTTTTGACCAATGATGAGTTCATGCATTTAATGCTGGAGGTATAAACATTTTTTTCCTGCTGACATCTTATCCACAAAGCAACATAGTTTCCTGCACTTTTATTATGCTCTCAGATATTCACAATTTAGACCTTGACAATACGGATTGGGTGTTCTTTAGCGCTAAGATCACTGGATTGCAATTCAACCAATATTAATAAGAAATGCTAATTAAATTTTAACTAAAACATAAATCTTCAGATTTTTTTGATTTTTTTCTTTAAATTCATTTGGTTAAGGTGACAACGGAGTCAATTATCACTGAAAATACCTAAAATGAGATTTTTTGCTAAGTAGATTTATCAACCTTTTCTGAACACATTCGTGATTTAATTTTGGAAGCAGTTACTGAGTTAGTCCAAAAAATGTGTTTTTAAACGTTTTAAAACGGTACCTATACTATTTGTAACTGCTACTCGCGTAACTTGTCGATTATCGATAACGCTCCGCCCCCTGTTGAGGCATCAATGAGGGAAATTGGTAGTTCCATATATCCGTGAATTACAGGTCCATACTTCTCGTAATACATGTATCGTACAACTACCGTACATCTTTTATGAATATCTCAACATTTAGCCTTTTTTATAAATTAATAAATTGTCGGCCAATGTACGTAACATAAATAATTAAGCATAGCGGCAAATCGCACAACCACGGGGTTGAATAAAAATGTAGTTGCTAAAATATCCATAATGTGTGAAAATAATTTGTCTGTCCCGTTAATCTGATACATATTACATTGAGTTGATAGACTTTTGTACGGATTCAAGGGCTTACTTTACATTCAACCTCGTTTTCTATCAATGTCGAGTAAAACAACAACAAAAACAGACAACATTTTTATGTGAACGCCTATATGACTTGTGGTAAGGTGTACCTGACAAATTTCTAAACCATTTTAGATTGTCTAAGGATGATTATTTCTCTATGAATAAAAAAAAGATATTAAAATATATTTTCAGTGAAAATAAATTGTTCGCCAGTAAATCGGACACAGTACTAATAAATCTGGGACAAAGTATGAAATTTATTGTCTATCCCGGTAGAAACTGGATCTCTATGCCGTGCATAGATGATATTCATAATAGAAGTCAAGAAGGCCATATCATAATGATCGAGTAATACCTTTTATTTCTATTAAAATATGTGAAGCATTATCAATTTGGTGGAAAAAATATATAATATCCTGTTCTTATTTGTACATCTACCATGGACTTTAAAAGACTGTCAGAAGCTCAGTTTTTTGTTATTTTATTTTATATTTTAACGGAATTTCATACACGGGAACAGGCAGAGTGACACTGGTATAATACAATAATAATGCTGATGATAATAATAATAAACTTCAAAAAGGAAACAATTAAATACCCCGCTAGCGGTGCGCAAATGCGTTCCATTTCCCCCCACTGAGTGCCTCAAATTTTACCGATAGTCACGTGACATGTGCGAAAGATACCAGACGAACAGTAAATCACATTAAGAATTGAAGAAATTTCGGCTATAAACTGATATTAATCAGCAGCTTTTTAATTGGTCAGATGTCACTGGGTCATTAAATGTTGTTAGAGTATGTTACCGCAACTTGTGACCCTCTCTGGTGCGATATTTGTGTATTATGCAATTATTTAGCGTGAAACGTAGGGGTCCGAGAGAGAACAGCCGATTTATGACACTTCGTTTGATGCGGGTCGGACTAACTTTGAATCGGCATAACTTTTTTAATAATCAAACAATTAACATGCGGTTTAAAGCACATGAAAGGAAATTCATTTACGGAAGGAACCGTGTCAGGGATTTTTGTTTGCTCAATCAGCGACTTAATTATCTTTAATTACGTAATATGTATGGTGAAAAAAGTCGCATAAAATGTTTGACGTTACGTAATATTTTTTTGAGAAAAGATAGAAAAAATTTGAGACACAGTTCCCCAGATAATATAAGTAAGGTTATTTTCCAAAAGTTTGATGACAAAAAAATAAAAAATGACTTTGATATGACGATTTAAAATTTTAGGATTTTTATTCAAAATCAATCATTTACAAAAGCATTTTTTTCAAATATGTTATTTTTTATGCTGATCAGCGACATTTAATGCATAAAGATTAAATAAATAACAATTATTACTAAAATAACTTGGTTTAAATTACATTTATGTGAGTACCACGGAAAGTGTCTGTTGTCACCTTAACATATCACATTATGCATTAATTGTTTTAGCTATATACAGTCGAGACTGTCTTAGCGACCCCCTGATTTCAACAACTCCCTGTCTTATCCGACCTTGTTTCAGTCCTCCCAATGTATTTTCCTATATAAATGGTCTGAATTATACCACTCATTGTCATATGTGACAAGCCACCCTAATTGTCTGTTCCCAATGCATTGCTTTGTCTGATTTAAACGACTTTCACACCTTTTAATTTTCCGTTAATCAGATAAATAATACCTGTTTAAACACCCAGAGAGACAAAATAATAAGTCCAATTATAATCCAGTGGTCAGTACTCTTCAAACAAACTCTACACACCTCTGCCTTAATTACACGGATTACGTGTATACAGGTATCAAGTGACGTGGTGTCTGGAGTAGTACTGCCAAATATGGTAAGCATGATGCAATCGATGTGTGTTAACAAATTGAGGTCACAGGTGTAATAAACATAATGGACTGAATAAACTGGATTAAGACTTGTGTTTTAAAATTATGGAGTGCCAACAGAATATTTTTTTAGGCAGCATTATTTACCTTTCTATGGCTGCATGAATAATACAAAAAAATGTTGATACCAGACTAGAAAAACCTTTGGATATGGATATGTTTTTAATAGTATGATATTTATTTTATGGATTTTAATGCATCAAATTCAAGTTTATTTTGTACCATAATGACTCAATATAAATCTAATACAAAAAATAAAATTAAATTTTATATGATATACATGCGATTATATTTGCTTTACAGGGATTCTTATTTTATTTACATCAAATATTTAAAGTACCTATGTGTATTTGCAATTGGTTAGATATTATTCCTTCACACAGTTTTACAGTATTATTACTATATATGTTAAGTCACAATGGTATATAGACAGATAGATGGTATTTAAATTTTAATTTTCTATGAGACTGTATAAAAGGACTCCCTGTCATATGTGACCTTTTTCTTATGCTCCCTTGGAAGGTCACATATGACAGTCTCGACTGTACTTCAATTATACTGTTAATATAGGAACTATGTAGATCTAAATATTTTTTATATATTTTTATTTTTTTCATGAAAAAATGTTTTAAAGAATCATTGCGCAATATTACAACACCAAGAGCTTAAATATTTGTCAAAAAAGCATTTCGAAGCAGACCTCTACTTATATTTTGAAAATAATGCAGCCTATGTTAAAAAATGATAAACTCAAATTCCAATGTGACCTCATAACTGATTTTGATATTGTAATATAAAAATTGTGACCTCAATGTTTAGGAATGTGTCATAATCTCAGAACAGCAATCCAGGGCCACCATGACCCTCTTGTTTTGTTTTTTTCTGCATGAATCAAGAGATTCTTTACAATATTTTAATGAAATTTGCTTTTTGCCAAAAAATGTAATAACGTTATGAGTATTGTTGTTGACATAAGAAATTTGCTTTTTACTTCAAATTTATGCACCCTCCCCTAGGCTTCTTGAGGGGCTCTGATATGGTACAATGAATATCATGAGTTTATCTGATCACCAAGCTTAGGGTTGCTTAAGGCTATTTGAAGTACCAAATGTGACCAAAATTTTGAAGTGAAAAAATGTTAAATTCTTAAAAAGTTGGCTGCCTGCATGGAGACAATGCTAACAAGTACCGTTGTATTTTCAGGCATGTGACAGTTATCTGTTGGTGTTCACACAGCAGGGTGTGATCCTATACACATCAGAGAGTATAACATCCCTCCTGGGACATCTACCTGTAAGTATTTACCTTATTTAGCCTCAGTGGTCTTATATTGAAAAAAACAAAAAAACAATGGATAAAGAGGAGATCCCTCAAGGGAAATGACAACAGTAGTATAAAAAGGTGAAAATAAGAAATTACAGACCTGGTTTGATTGAGTCTGGTAACAACAGATTATGTTGCTGACAGGCTTTGAACCCATGTGAATGGCAATCCTTGGATTACTAATCTGACATGTTAACCACAGGGCCATGCTGTTACAAAAGGTCATTTTGAACCAGTGAAGCTGGAAAGTTGCTATGTGACCTTGTGATTTGATATTGCCGTCACTCCCCTATTTACGCCTACATTTTTGAATCTCTTGAAACTACCAGTCTGACCATTATTATTCATAGAAAAAGAAGTTAAAGAGATTGGTCTATAATGTAAAGTTTGTAAAACAAAAAAATAATTATGTTGATAATATATTAAGTGTCAACCACAAAAGAAATATGCATGGATGTTGTACATGATACAATATGACATATATTTATATAGCAGATGATAAATTGTTCTAGAACAAAATATTGTGATTATTCATATAAATGTTCATAATAAACCAGACTTGTATCAACCTTTTTTTCTTCTTTTTTTTTGCAAATAATATTTTATAAGAATATGTTAATGTTCCAATGTTGTTTTTTTTTTATATCAACATTTGAAATAGTCAGAAAAATGTGCCTTTTTTATACCAATCCACTGTACTGTAAGTACTTACAATTGGTGAGTCTTAAGAAGTAACGAAGGAAATACATGTACGTAGGTTGTTCTAAGACTGACATCAACTTAAGATAAATCATTATTATATTTATAATACAAGTATGACTGGATAGGGTATACTGACTCTGTCCAAGTGAGGCAATATATGTTGGCTTATATTCTACATTTATGACATTAACTATAGCGCAGGAGTATAATAAAGCCATATTATAAAACAATATTACGCTTGTGTAACAACACTTAGATGTGACAACATTTCCGTTATATACAATTAGTTACAGACAGCATAAAAAGTGTGCTAATGTTAGAGTTACACTATAGGTTCGCAGTGAAAAAAAAATTGCTCTTTTAGACAATAAATAATAAACCGTTCTTATTTTCAATTTGATTGTGATAAGTATATTATATTCATGTAGATTCAATACTAAATTTATAGAACTCGTTGAAAAAACCAATATTATGCTCACCAGGGGCTCACAGAATATGACTTTTTGTACAACTTGTTCAATAAATTTAGTATTAAACCTACACTAATTCAATATCCTCTGTGTACAAGTAACTAGATACACACTGATAGATATTGAATTGAGATGATAAAATCTAGCTTAGCTATTTTCCTATCAGTGGCAACTGTTACAAACTTTTGTGCTACTTGATCATGGTCTGCACTGTTCCCTATTCAATATCCATTTTAAAATTTCCCCTTTAAATGATGAATGGTTTTGCCCAGATTGAAAGATGGACAAGTCCATTTAGCATGGTAAGAGTTAACCAATCATAAAAACATTTATGGACATTAACAATAATTCACAGGTTTAAAAATTCTTAACAATGATTCAAATAGGATATTTGACTATTTGCATAGGATTAATAGTAAATATTCTAGCATTGCATAGCCTTCAGGAACTCAGTGATAAGCCATTGCAGTATGGAGCTAGGCTAGCTTGTCAGACCAGGTGGTGCCTGCACATGCATGCGGCCTGACGTGAGCAGCTCTATACTGTTGGTAGCTCAATTTTTGTATTTTGATATCAAAAACCCTTAATCACCAAATGGACTGTTCCAAATTCTAAGCTGGACAAATTCATTACGCTAATTAAGGAGGATAAGGGTAAAACAACTGCTTATTTGTTTGCAGGCAATTTGTTTTTCGTAGCATGACATTAGGTTGCAATTTGATCATGGTAATAATTTTGCACTCAATTGGCATATTTCATGTTTGACAAATCGTAAAATGTAATTGACATTCATTACTTTATGACAATGCGATCAAATTCTATTTAATGTGTTGTTTACCAGTATGACCAAAAAACAAACAAGCCTACAAACAAACAAACCAATACAAATACACAAACAAACAAGCACACAGACAAAACATAGGCGATATTCAATTGTATTGAATATTATTTTATAAGGCTGATGGAGACAATAATAAGTGTAATTATGGCAATGGAATCGAATGTTTGAAATTTGAAGCGGGCCTGTTATACAAATTAGCCTGTGTTATGGATATGACCAGTTATATGGAACATAATTACCGTCACCTTAGTGCTGTAACTTAAAGGTCTTAAATTACTTAAAGTGACATTATGCTCATATTTCATTGTCAAGTTGAGCTGAATTGACTTTATATTTCAAAAGATTCACTGTTTAAATGATGTTTGACAAACAGATTATATTGGAAAATGTTTAGGATAAAATTTAAAATATGCCTACAATATAAAAAGACTGCCTCACACTTTTAATGAATTGAACCTTACAGATAAATTCAAAATGATATTTACTGAAATTTCGTTTGAATCCGGTGATTATTTATTGATCATTAAATCAAAAGGAAATATGGCAAAATGAAAATTTATTTTGACTCTCACCTGTTCACTCACTATATACCTTTAGATGGGCATAATGTCACGTTCTTAACTAACCTCATTTTTCTTTACTAACCTCACTTTTCTTTCTTTATTTTTTTTAAAGAACATTCCTCACTTTTTAAAAAAAAATTTTTTAGGAACATACCTCACTTGACTTTAAATATTATCTGTACTATAAATGTTGCAATTTAAAAAAAAAAAATTAATTTAAAAAAAAATTTGATACATTTTTTAATATTATTTTTTTTGTATAATAACTAACTCCTTCGGATAATCATTAAATGCTGTATTTCACATTTACAGATGGTAAAATTACGTATAGTTGGAAATATAGCGTACTTGTTTCCACAATAATTCATACATTCAGGGCTATTAGGCAAAGAAAAATGAGTAGGCAATTTTATTCCTGTTTGACATTTGAAGGTGATTACTTGTCTGCAATTCCACGACATTTTAGTATAAAGTCAATAACTCACTTCTCACAGATATTATTTATCATAATTAAATGTATGGTTATCAGCTGGGGATCGAATAATTTGGTTCATCAATAACAACAGAATAGACTTTAAATTGTGAATAGTTGAGGAGTTTTTAATTGTTCAATCATTTGAGAAATTATGAAATATCGTAATGTAATTACTCAATGCTGGAACCGAAAATGTCCTTTTTGCCATCATTTTGCCATCAAATCTTCATTGTCCCACAATGTCTTTTTTGCCATCAAATCTTCATTGCCCAACAATGTCTTTTTTGCCACAAATCAAGTCTTTTTTGCCACCCATGTCTTTTGCTACTTTTGTGACGAATTATTTCAAATTTAGTTATCACTACTTTTTTCAGGTATTAAGCATCCAACATTACTCTTAAACCATTATTTAAACATTATGAAATTCATGTTTGCCCTTTCTAAAGAAGTAAAAAAAAAATTTTTTTTAGGCATAATGTTCCTTTAAATTTTGAATAGACTGTTCTGAATTCAAAGCTTGGCTAGCCTGTTACACAAACATTCAGAAAGTTACTGGTTAACAATAAAGTGTATTTCAGATGTTTTCAAATAGTCTGCAATTTGAACAAAAGTTACAATTTACAACTATTTTGTCTGATTATAAACTAAGTATTAATTTTTCCATACTGTTTTTTCAAAGCAGTAAATGAATTAATAATTTCATTCAAGCATTTTTTCCTCATTTCTTCCTTAAATTCTTGCTTAATTCATAGTGGTTGTTCTTTTTTTACAATGCGAAACGCAATGTGAAAAAAAAACCCTCTATGAATTCTTTTTGATCTTATTTCATTAATAAATGCCTACAATTCTTAAATACTTTCTGTATAGCTAATAAATACATAGTAATTATGCAATACTTCAGTAAAGGTCAGTTTTAGAACACACATTTTACTATGAAAAGATTTAAAGGCTCGATTAATTACATAGAACAGAAACCTAATTAATGGCAGTTTTCTTTCCCTCTGGAAATATGTAAATGTCAAGGCCCTAAAAAGGCTAATTATAGAAAGTTTCCAGAAACAAATTTTTTACGAAAAATGTTGCATTATGTTCATGTCACATGAGCAGAGGTGATGTACAATGCAGTTATGAGTTACAGAATCGTGAAATCCACAGGCGTAATTGTTCCGCCATGACATTTATAGAGACAATTATATCAGTGAGACAAATGTATGTGAATATTGAAAAAAAAACTAAGCTTCTGTGAAAGTCGGTTTTTGAAATAGGTTTTCAGTTACATTTATTTAAGGGAAGGCCTGTAATATTAAAGTGGGAAGAATGATTGTGAGGGACTGTGTTGCAAAAGTAATAAGAGTGCAAGATATTGACTGTTATCGTAACAAAGGAACAAAACAAACACAATGAAGTTTATTTCGTAATGGGAAAGAGTATCATTAGGGCCCTGGAACTCTTTATAACAACAAACAACAACAAAAAATAAAAGGATTGGCCATGTCATTCATTCATAGGCATGTCCATCTGTCTGTCTGCTTATATATTTGTTTGGGCTTTGTTTCTTTCTTTGGCATGTCCATTGTTTTCACTTTGTTGCTAACCATTTTTTTAACCGAACAAATATTGAAACCACTTTTGCAGGAATGTAAACATGCACTGTGCGGATTAAGGCTTCCTCAGGTCAAAGGTACACTAAGTAGCTATGTATGAATTTTAAAATTCTGTGTACCCTCTTTATCTTTTGAACCAAGGGAAGCTTATAGATTAATTAATTAAGAAATAGAAAGACCGCCCTTAAATGTCAGCAATGGTCAAGTTGGATGTCTATCACAGCCTGCCGTCTTATAGGGAGAGCAGCACATAGAGATTTGGTCAATATAGGGCGTGGGAATTGGATCCTGCTGGCCATGCGCTGTGAAAGCAAA